GAAGGCAGGAAGATCTCCTGCCCGACCGTCGTACTAGACAAATCTGGTGACAGCAGTCGTGTCCCTCGTCAGGCAGCGTCGTGCCTGCCACCTTTAGAAGGTGTCCTACACCTGACAGACACGTACCCAGCGGTGATGGCCCCACGCGTGCCACCTCAGCCCTGCCAATAACGGCTGCGCCAAGTTGGCAGTGACGGTTATACCCGCCCTGTCAGAGGCCGACGGGGAGAGGTAACAAATTTCTGCTATAAGGAGTTTAGCATCAAGGCTGGAGGGGGATTCATCTACGGTACGCGCGCTATCTCCACTCCTAGTCTTCATCTTCCTCCTTGCTTCTCCTACCAAGTACTAACTTAATCATCGAAGTGTTCCTGCCGGGTAACTCCCTCCGGGAATTTTCTTCTTCTCAGGTATCTTCCAGGAGCCACGTGAGCGCCAGCTAGGAGTGATCGGATCGTGCTACATCATTTGGCGCCGTCTGTGGGAAACGCTTCGGAAAGCTTTTCTCTAAACTTTCACATCTTTTTACTCTCCAAAAACTCAACGCTCATGGCGTCCCCAAGCAATATCGGACGAAGCACGGAGATGAATAACTCCAGGGAACAGCCCCAGCTTCCTACTGTCTGCATCAGATAGTTCACCGTCCCCCTCTCAACGGACGGGATCCCTAGTTTGAACGTGCCGCGTGCAGGGGCACCCGTCGTTGCTCCACTCCCTACCACAGTCGGAACAACCTTCGCTGAACCCTCAATTGTGCCCCCAGCGGCCAGCCCGAACCAGCTGAAAGATTTGGTGCAGTGCATGTGAACCATGCAGGCTCAAATGCAGCAGTTTCAACAGTTTCAAATCTATCAACAGCACGTGCTACTCCAAGTCTCCCAGTACCAGTATCAGCAGCAATTCCCTCAGCTGCCCCAACCTCAGCATCAGCAGCCGCAACTCCCTCCTCGGCACCCGGCCTCGTAGCAAGCCAGGTCTCGCCGCCAAGAGGAGCACCTTTCTCACCAAGGAGAGGCCCCCCAGAACCCTCCTAGGAGCCAGGCCTCCTCCCGCAGCAGATGTGGAAGAACAACCACTCCGGCCTCACCGTGGGCAGTCAGGTCGGGAGGACCCCAGCTCGCTAGGTCCACGTCTCCTCAGCCCTCGAAGCCTGATACCCCGTTCCTAGAGAACCGATTCGAGATCCTGGCCGTAGGCTCCAAGCAAGATCCCTCCGTCCGCAGCCAGCACCAGCGGCCTGAGCTACTTCCGGCACACACCATTCCAAATAGCACGGAGGTGAGCAGCACCAACGCCGAGCCCGCCAAGAAGCAAAGACGCCACCGCCGAGCTCGCCGATCTGCAACCCACGACCTGCCCGAGCTCAGGGGCAAAGAAGAGGTAAGCTCGGGCGAAGCCAAGGCACCCCTCCTTTCAGTCCAGTCTCCCTATCTCCCGAGCTCCTGGCAGTCCCGATGCCTAAAGACTTCAAGCTCCCCCCTCTTGACAAGTACGACGGGTCGTTCGACCCAAACGATCACATTGACGCTTTTCAACCGCAGATGCACCTGGCGAGAGCTAGCGAGTCGTGCATGTGCATGGCCTTCTCCACCACTTTTAGAGGAGCAGCCCGTACATGGTACCAGAACTTGGCACCAGGATCGATAAGAAGTTGGGCGCAGTTCGCGCAAGCCTTCGCGTCCCACTTCGTTACTAGCAAGCGGTGTTCGCGAACTGAAGAAAGTCTCCTCAGCATAGTGCAGAGAGAGGGAGAATCCATATGAAGTTACATCAAGCGGTTCAACGATAGCTGTATGCAAATACCGCGCCTGGACCCTGCCGTACGCCTTGCAGCAACTAAGAAAGGCGTGACACACAAATAGTTTAAATGGCACATGGTCGTCAACCAACCAGCAACCATAACCGAGTTCCTGAAGCTTGCGGACAGGTTCATAACCACCAAAGAGGAGATCAACCAAAAGGGCGAGGGCGCGCCCGAAAAAAGGAAGAGGGAAGGAGAGCTTTTCAGCCAAGGGGACGGCCGAAAGAAAAAGGACACAGCTCGGGGGGCAAAGCCAGGTCAGTTTTTCCGACCTTCTGTAGCGGACCGAGCTTATTACACCCCACTGAACGCGAAGCGGTCTGAAATCTTGATGGCGATCAAGGACGCCCCGTATGTGAAGTGGCCACCCCGTCTGAGGGGGAATCCCAATGAAAGAAATAAGAATATGTATTGCAGTTTTCACAAAGATCACGGTCACAGTACCGAGAGTTGTAAAAACC